AATCGTTAGTTACTGCACCGGTGTCGTTATAAACCGCGTATCGCAGCAAAATTATGTACCTAACCACCGGTCATCACATTTGCCGAACAAATAGTTGAGGGCGTACGTAAATTATACAAATTACGCGCCGCTAAAATTCCCACACACAACGTTCCATTTATGAAGCCTAGTAACCAGATATAATCAGTTTAAATTTAATTAATCTCTTATCAGTAGGGTGACTTTTTTTTCGGTTTTCGTGAGTGCCCTGTTATCAATTTTCAAATATATTTGCATTTGTCCGACCAGAAAAAAGTCTTACTGCTTTCTATAATTACATTTTAGAAATTGTGCCAAGAATCTGGGAGTTATCTTAGACACCAAACTTAGATTCAAAGAACACCTAAAAAAATATTTCTAAAATCTTTTGCCTCCATATAATAATAGACATATTTTAAGTAAATAACTCTGGCGACGTCTGTATGAATCCCTGCTCTTCTCTAACTTCAATTATTGTGACTTTGTCTATGGTTGTTGTTGGCATCCGGAAATTAAGAAGCGTGTTCATATAGTACAGAATGAGGAATGAGGAATAGGAGGAAATTTGATCAATTATCATACTTATACAATGATATAAAATGGCTCATAATGAATGAGCAAAAATCCTACATTTCTCGATATTTTTATAAATAACCCTAATTCGCCAGTTTCCATCAAAAATCGCTAAATATTTCCCAACACTGTCCACAATATTAATATTAGAAATAATGCCAAACTAACGATGCCACATCATAACACTGCAATCTTTCAGCGCTCATTTTCATACAACGCCGTAAAGTATTTCAACTTAATTCCCAACCAGTTTCTTGACATATCATTGCATAATTTCAAAATAAAATATCAAAAATATCTTCTAACTCTCCATTAACGGACTTAAACTAAAATTAGTAACATAGTACCTACATATCACGAAGTTCCAAAATGTTATAAAACCAATCAATTTTCCTGTGTATAGTTACAGTAATTTCTATAGGAAAATGGTTTCGAAACTGGCTAATAGCTTGCAACATTCGGCGTCTTGCAAGGATCTGTTTTGGAATACATTATTGACTTAAAACAACTTGAAATTTACAGGCCTGTTTGTTTTACTTAGACAGATGAAATTGTGTTTTGGTGCAAGATACACTCAAAACAGGTAATAATAAATATTGCATCGGATATTACGAACACAAAAAAACGGGTGAAGCCATTCGGCTTTACTTAATTATGTAAAGACTTCAAAATTTGCCTCAAGCTGCTTCTGCCCGAATGCAACATTTCACAAACTAGGAAGGGATGTTGCACGAGATCCAATGCAACTCTAAGAATACATTGTAAGACACTTTTTATTGTTATTCCAGTCAAAATTTATAGTCGATTTTATTTTTATTCTAAAAAATAAATAAGAACTAAAAGTTCAGATTTTCATGAAATTATATATTTTTACATGGCAATTGTTTCGACAACACCGTGTCTTTATCAAATGTTTTGATTTGATAAAGACACGGTGTTGTCGAAACAATTTTCATGTCAAAATATATAATTTCGTGAAAATCTGAACTTTTTGTTCTTATTTATTTTGATAAATGGATTTTCATCAGGTAAAAGCCACCTCAGTTCAATATTTTTATTCTATTTATTCTTTTCATTCTTCTTCTCTTTTTTAAGTTGTATTAGGAAATGTGCAATTCTTAAACTCAAAAATTCTTAAATTACGCTTCGTCAAATTTTTCTCTGAATTTTAGTGGTCATTCTGAATTTGCAGAAAACTAAAAATGTGCATTATGAATACGGTTACTACATTAGTGGAAGTGCAAGTGATTGCGGTTGGATTTTGGAACCTCTTGTAATGGAATATTAATCCGAGAATATTATTAATTAAATTTTAAGTGGGCGTTACTCTAAGCTCCGTAAAGAGCTAAATTTAACCCTTTATGAAAGCACATCAGAATTTTCTACATCTATCTCAGTCTGATTTGGTTGTGATTTGTTATTAGTTTAAGAAATAATTAATCTACATAAACAATATAATAACCCATTCTGTTATTTACATTTTCAATTTTTCTGATCACAAAAACTAAATACCACGTTAACCGCTTTATATTATTTATTTATTTTTTTTTATTATTTATTATTTTTCAAAACCTTTTGGAAACATTTGTGATTAATTGGTGGCGGATATTATCTACTGGATAGAGATATTTGAAAATCCAAATCCAAATTGGAAATTGGAAGAAGGTAGAATATTTTATCATTATTGATTTGGAATCTTCGAGAACGTATATATTTGTTATCATGTCGATGGGTAGACTGGTATGGTTGTAACAATTTTCACATAATAGCCCTTAATACAAATTAAACTACGATTCAACAATTTTAGATGGAAGCCTTGTCATTTACCTTGAAACCAAAATCAATACAAGGTACATATGTAAAATAGTTTTATAGTAATTAATCATTTTGTAAAGTGTGTGCGACAATCGACCCCATGCCAGGGGCGGTTGTAACATAACATACAGAAATAATACACAATTTGAGTATTTAAGCTAGTTTTAATACTCAAACAATCACTATATTGCAACTAATTACTAGATATATTTAGGCACATTTTCAGTTTGAGAATGTTCTTAGAGCTAAACTTGAATTATTCATATTCAACAAAATTAATATAATTCTTATAAAAAAAAAATTTAAACACTTTATTACCACCACCTGTATTTTATAGAATTATTAACAAAGGACAAGCACAGAAACCAAATATTTGCCTTGTTTTGATTTCATTTGAGAATAGTTCTGAGAGTTGCACTTGTGCATTAGGAGATTAATATTTTGATTTATTCGGAACCAGTTCGAACAATTCTGAAGGAAATTTCATTGAAGAGTTTGCTCAATAATTTTGGCACCAGCTGTTTTCCGATCTAACTTGGAATTTGCATGTTGGCATTGGTAAATAAAGTTTAAAAGTTGATATCGAAGTTTTTAAATTGCCCAAAAAAAAATAAAAATCATCAATTTTCTTTCACGAATTTCTGCAAAATGTTATTCCTCTTCTTATTTCACTTCAACAATTTCTTTGGATTTTTCAGACTAGCCACTGTTTCGCATTAGCCATCACTTTTGGAAGTTTGCTGTAACTTTTCACTGGTTTTAATTTCATAATATAAGACGAAGTCAGCGCATAGCAAAAAAGGGTCCCTATATGAGCTATACAAGATCAAACATACTATAATTCCCTAAGGACGACATCGACGACGACAACTTCAGCATTTCGCTGTTACTAAAACATTATTTTAGTTCAACTGATGTTTAAAAAAATTGTGGAACCTAAGTAATTTTCCGGAATAATGGCAGGGATCAGAATTTAATCAATTCCGGTATATACGTATAACGGCGGATGCACTTCACTCTTTAAGAAAAGTAGCAGAAATAAAACCTTTAGTCTAATCCAAAGGGTTTTAAGTAATGACCGGAACTGGTTTTTTCGATGCAGAAATAATTATTGATTATTCAGAAAGAATCATTTTAAAATGAACGCTAATGGTGGCTAATTAGGAGCGCGCCAATGTACAGAGCTATGGGATGAATTAATTAGTCAAAGAGTGTATTCAAAAGGGACAATAAGGGCAACGGCTTCACATCAGTTTCATTAAAGGGACGTTGTTTACCACACAATGAGATAAATGAAATTCAAGCAAATAGTTGAACAAACAACAAAAATGAAGTACTGAAAAATTCTTGAACTAATAAAAAGCCAGGTTTATTGTAATATATTTCATACTAGAAAAAAATTATCATTTTTGTTATTGTATTATGTTTCATGTGGTTGTTACAATCATCAAATGGACTTAGCTTTTGGAATTGGGAACCTGATTTATTATTATGATTATTTACAATATATACTCATATTAGGTAGGAACTTTTGTCAATTGAGATATGTGTCTCTCACGTCATCTCCACTTATTCTTTCGGAAAAATATTTTGATAATCTCTATCATAAATTCGAGTCCTAAAATGCGCAATTCAAAATTTGGAACCTTATAATTTATATAGCTATTTAATTGTATGTAAAATTAATCTTTAAAATTTATTTCATTTCGTTTAGAAAAAGTACATTACGACTCACTAAAATGTACTTTATTCCTGATATAATGTTGCTACGAAACTCTGAGGTTGCAGGGCTTTTGTGGTTGATGCAACATTATCTATTTGATTTTTCAAAGAAACTTCCACCCCTATGTCGGTTGTTGCTAAATCGAACTTGCTAACGTTTCGCTAATCATCCTTTTCGCTTCTTCAGAGCTTAGCTAAAACTGGCTTGCATACTGTGCTGTACCTGTTTATATACTGTTGGAGGGGGCAGAGCTAACTAAAAGAGGGGTATCAACAAAGTAAAGATCTGAGTCGCGGTTAAAATTGTTTGGCTAGAAATAGAGCTCCGACCCCCTCAAACAATATATAAGCAGATGAGCGTAGAAGAGCAGTAAAGCTCTGAGCAAGCCAGGGATTTATAAATAGTATTGTCTACTTGAATTAACAATAAAGAGTTTAAAACTTTTAATTGTCAAATTTATTTTATCAAATTTTGATTATCATTGTTATTGCTGCTTGGTAGTAAAGCTAAGTTGTAACAATAAATAAACTAATAAACTAATTTAACAGCAAAGTTACACAACATGGTTTTGATTTACATCGAACAGAGTTGCAAATAGTCAACTTTGATTTGAGCCAGTGAGTATTTTATAAAATCCAGTTCCAGAAAGCAGGACCGGAAATTTATATTTTTTATAAATCGCCGCATTTTAGTGTCAACTTTTACTAATTATGAATTTAAAATGAAAAAGTTAACCCAATTTAAATTTGGAGCAGTTGCTCAGCAAATTCATAGGTTGCAAATGTTATCCATTGTAGTTTAATTATTAACAAAGGGTAATATGTATTACATTTAAAATTTATAATCTCGAGAACATTTATTTGTTTTTCAGAAGCGAAAACCATGAAAACTACACGCACAGATCACGATGGTGGAATCATGTCCGGTTTTATTTTGTTCATTGCAGGTAAGTTTAACATTTTTACAACCGAAATTGAATATTAGGTTGCCTATGTTCTAGATTTTAGGTAATATTGATTTTATAAAATTCCAGGCTGACAGTGAATTTTTTATATCGGAAGAAAATAAACACAAAATACAAAAAAATAACAGTAACCAATCAGTTACAATGATAAATTTTAAGTGCGCAAACTATTATAGAATTTTTACCAAAAGCTTTTAAGTTGGTTTATGTGGACCACGTGTGAACGCCAATTTACTCTAATCGTAAGAATACTATAATGTATCTGGTAAAATGTGAAAAATACTATTCATCTTCGTTAGGAACTATGATATGGATAAATAAAAAAGGAGAGTTCTCAATGCAATGATGTCCATAAATATTTCAATTAGTATTAAGTTTATAACTCAGGGCCGTAGAAAATACATAGAAAGAAACACTTTGATAAATTTTTTCTTTTCACATCGCACAAATCAAACGCATAGGCAAAAATCAAACTTATTATAAAGTATTCTATTATTTGACGGTTTAAGTTTCTATATAGTTTTGTCGATTTTAGAATCTCGAGTTCATTTGTTTCTATTATCCAAGCAAAGATTTTCAACTATATTTTGAAATGTGAAAATGGTATATTATGAATACAATGATGCTTACTAGTTACTAGGAAAGGTGCATCGGAAGATGATCACGGTTTGGCGCATTGGCCAGTTCGTACTGATTGCTGGAAGCAAAATGGACAACGGATTTATGTCTATCAGAACAGAATGACCGCACCAAACGTTTTCGAGAGGTTGTCAGCAAATCCGAATTGCTCAAAAGGATTTATTGTCCGCCAAATTATTCAGTTGACGGACACAATTAAGTTGTACAGGATGTCCGGTTTTCGACAGTGTTGCGGTATATCTCAATTAATATTAAACCATCAAGCCATTCACCAAAGGTCATTTCGCGTTTGCTATTTTAGTAAATCTGCAATATTACAAATTCATCTTTGCTAAGCATTTCTAATAGATATCCAGGCACAATTTTGCAAATTTTGAAAAATTAAAAATAGAAAACCACAAAAAAATAAAATCCGGTGCTGTCACATCCAGTCTATAATATTTTTTTGAGAAGCATGTAAAAAATTGAATTGCACTGTCAAATCCAGTTTATTCTTAAAAATGGTTCTCTTACATAAGAGCAAATATCATGTAATTTATCAAGAATCCCAAAAATGTGGAAATTAAAAATTCTTTCCTGTAGGGAGCAAAAATATAATCCGACCATAAGGCAAATATTAAAAAAAAAATAAGCATTTTTCATATTTAATAGCTACATATTTCAATATTAGAAATTATAGTACTATAAATGTCGCTTGTTGAATGATGCAGTGGCATAAATCGAAAAATAATAAATGTGTAAAAATGACTTATAATTTTTAACTTCTTTTATGCATGTCCTATTCTTGTTCACAAAGTAGTACGTTCAATACTCTATTTTAATTAAAAACCTGGGCTGCAAAAGAACATTTATATGCAGCCTTAATTATGTTTGCCAGTTGTTATAATAATTGTGTTTTTAAGGGTTAATTTTCCCTTCCTAGAGCGGGATTTAAGAATTTGCTGCTTGTGTTCACATTATTAGGAGACGATCGCCTTTTTACCGTTTTTAGTAGGAACTTGTTTAAAGTTTGACATTTCACTTGAGGAAATAGGCGTGTCCAAAAAAGAGCACAGGGCTAGGTTTTTTTCAATTGCTTGTTCCTGGTATTCTTCTTTAGCAATGAGTCCAGTAATAGACAAATTGTTTGCAATTCTTTTCGTTTCCTCCTGATTAAAGGCAGATGTTAATTTGTCCACCTCAAATTTCAGTTCTTGATAATTGATTATACTTTTTTTTTTCGAAGAAACTTCCCAAGTTAATACTGTCATAATATTTACAAATCGTCTGGATTTCTCCTGAGTGGGTTGTTGTCGAGTCGAACTTACTGACGTTTCGCCAATAATTCTGTTGGATTCTTCAGAGCTTAACTGAATATACGGAACTAGAAGAGTAACATGAACATTGTCTTGGATGACTGAATGCCATATTGGTGAGAGATTTCTATGGATTCTCGCATTCTTCTTTGGTAGAACACTGTTTTGCAATTTCGGTTTCATCGAATAATATTTGACGTCTGGTTTCATAATTATGTTCGGTAACTGCTCATGAGTTTATTTGACGTACTGTTTATGTTCTTTTAGGCAAGTTGATATTTTTCGTCCTGTCTTTCCAGCCTCTTCTGACGAATATGCTGCGAATACTGGTGTCTCAATCGCAATTTTATCTCTGTCTTCGAAGATGTTGAGTTATTTTTGGACAGTTGGTAAATCTGGTTTAAACATTATATTTAGTAAAAACTTTTTATATGCGGGCAGTAATGTTCTGAATGACTCATTTCCTTTGGGAGGTTGTGGTGAAGTGATTTTACAATAGAACGCTTAATGGAACTTAATATGGAATTTATTTGAGAAAAGAGCAGATGTTAGGTGTTTTAATTCTCGGTCCAGTGATTCGGGTTGAGATAGTCTCACGCCTCTACGGTGATGTTACAATACATTAATTAACTCTCTCGTTAACAGAGTCGTAATACTCTCTCAAAATCCGAATCACTATCAAAGAAAAATCCGAAAATCAATGAAAATCTCTAAACAACCAAATAATCTTCACCGCATCTGAGGGAACAAATGGGAATAAGTAATCCGAGACTATGTTCATATCCCAATTTTAGCTCCACCTCCCTCAAAGCAAGTTCGATTTATCAACAACCAACGTTTAACATATTAGTTAATAAAATAGCCCTACTGTGGTAAAAATTTTCCACGAAAGCCTCTACATTTGACTCACTAACCCGCACTTTGTGCCATTTTCTTTCTAAACAGCGATTTTCACATACTCGCTTTTATTTTGAGAGGATATGGCTGTAGAAATGCCGCATCCAAACTTAGTGACGATCTGTCAGCGGTCATGTTGGTTGTTGAATATCGCAAGGTCAATGGTTAAAATCGCGGTCTTAAATCTCGCGCATGAACATGTTGAATGGACTTTCTCAAAATTTTTTGCTTCTTAAGTTTCCGTATTATCGGTATAGGCTATACAGTTTAACATAATAGTGGTTCGTGTCAATGCTTTCGATGAGATAGCTACAAAAATTTGATTGTATAAATTATTTTGAACGTAAGAGGTATTTGAACTCTAAAAATATGGTATTCAGTTTGTTCTTCATTGCAGAAATAAGCAGTAAGTACATTCAGATTCAAAACACCAGTTTGTAGTAGGTACCAAATTTTCCTAACCAAAACGCCCATCCTACATATATATTCTATTTTATTCACAAGATAATGAAAAAATACAAGTAAAAATATCAATTTAATATAACACATTTTTAAATGAAAATTTAAACAATTTTTCTTGCAGATTTCTTTTTATAGGTTATTGTTTAAATACTTAGTGCTTATAAACAAATTTTGTCACAAAAAACGTCTTGCTGGTTCCATTTAAATACAAGGGTATCTTTTCTTAAAAATGTTCAATAAGATTTGGGTCCTTTTTTGATTGGACAATTTTAGTGAAATGTCACGTGAGGCCTCCTCCACATGAAAATATTGTTCTCTAAAATGAGAACAAACACCAATATTTCTCTTACATCCCTGAATCTAGATTTATTGAAGTTGATTATCTGTAGGAAATCGATACAATGATTTTTTCACAGATTATAATGCCTTTATTTTGCTTTTACCACAAAACACCCAACATATGACATATGAAGAAGTTGAAATCATCACAATTTTCAAGAATTATTGCTTGACAAACACATGTTCACCTCAAACGATTTCTCTAAATGTAAACGCGCACGGTTTTACGTTCGTTCTCCGTTCTCGTCTTTTGGTTCTTCCTAAATAACTTTCGAACCGTCCTTTTTAACCCTCCACGAGATACATAAGCTTGTAAGAAATGGCTTCGATCCGACGCTGGCATCCATCTTTTTTTCGCGATTTTCCTCTGTTGAACATTGAAACACGATAAGTGTCCGAAATTTGAAGTAATCGACTTCATATTTGGTACACATATGCAGTTTTGCCCTGTAACGGAACCTATTGAAAATGGGGGGCTGGGGGCTTGGAAAGTATTTTAAAAAACTTCAAAATCGCGTGTGCAAGGGTCTACAAAAGAGACCATTTTTCAAAAACTGTTTACAATACCGAAAAAATTCTTAAACCAGAAGACGCAGAGGATACGGCTCCAAAAACTTTTATTCCTGGCAATTTTTCAAAAATATACAGGGTCCGTCGTAAATTCAAAAAAACTGAAAAGTCTGTCACTCTATTATTGAAAATTGGCAATAATTTAAAATCTGTTTTTTAGATGTCAGTTTCTTTTACATAATGATATAGGCTATATAAACAGCTAAAACTTTTGTATTTAAGGTTTTTCAGTATTGTATAGGATGTTCGCAATATTTCGTGCAATATTAAAAAACATAATAAGTGCCCCAAATGTGCAGCTACTGACTTCAGACTTGGGAGAGAAATGAAAGTCTGGACCCGCATTTAGACTCTTTAAACTGGGATCCATAAGATAACGCGAAGTATTTTTTTAATTTTTGAATTTTTTGCAACCCTAATATGTGGGAGACCCGGCGCTATAACTTTTATTTCACGCATTATTTCAGTTATATATAGAGAGTAAATTATTAACCGTAAATCGAAATAATCAATAAACAAGTACTTTCTTGAAAACTATTTACTCTATTGGAAAAATTCGTATACCAGTTAACTAAGGGGATCCAGGGCTATATACTCTATAGGGTACGTCGTTTGTGCGTAAAAAATTACCAGTACAAATTTTAATATTTATTGAAGTTCGGCGTAACTTTGAATTTCGAAGAGATGTGAAAAATACTTTATACAGGGTGTATTCACAATAAAATGATATCGATTTTGCGAAAGTTCCATAGTGGTCCGCAGTACCACGATAGAAAAACA